TTTCTGTAATATTCCTGTAATATTCCTGTAATATTCCTGTAATATTCCTGCAATATTCCTGTAATATTCCTGTAATATTCCTGTAATATTCCTGTAATATTCCTGTAATATTCCTGTAATATTCCTGTAATATTCCTGTAACATTTCTGTAATATTCCTGTAATATTCCTGTAATATTCCTGTTTAATATTTCTGTAATATTCCTGTAATATTCCTGTAATATTCCTGTATAATATTTCTGTAATATTCCTGTAATAAAACAAAAATACGAGTTACTTTTGATTGAGCAAGCATCAGAATAATGTCCTAGTGTAATTTTACAACTATTCGTCAAAAACTTTTATTATGTTATCAAACTAAAGATATATCAAATAAATCGATGTTGAAAGGTCCCCCCCCTCCCAACTTCCTGTGTAATAACCCCCCTCCCCACCCCTAGGGGCGACTTATACACTTTTCTGAAAGGAGAAGAAATGTTTACAGTTTGTGTGCAAATTTGAAATCAATTTTTTTTACTTTTACATTATTAGAAAAACACCTCTTTTTTGCCGAGTAGAAGGGGTGGAAGGGGGGGGGAGGATGAATCATCCCTCTATAATATCCTCTCTAAGTTAGCACTACACCCTTCCCCTCACTGCCAATTTCTAGTGGTTTTGTGTGAAGCATCAATCATGATGAACAATCTATATGTTTTCAAGAATGGAGATTGTAAAACTTTCAATTTACCAAGAATACTCAAGAACTGTTTGATGGATTGTCTAGACATTTAAGTAAAGAATGAAGTCAGGAGGTTGTATACAGAGAAAGAATTGTGTAATTTTGTAGTCGGCAATATCTGCAAAATATTCATTTTGAAAAAAAAGAATCTAAATGTAGCAAATGCCTTACTCCAACATGTTCTCTTAAGTCTGTAACAATCCAGGTAGGACCTTCTGTAATCTCAATGTGTATCCTACAGCTACAACTCGCTTTCGAACTCGCTTTTTCGATCTATAATACTCAATCTCTATTAATCCCGATAAGACGCTGTTGTATTCTTTAGTATGTATCGCTCAGATACTACTAGCTCTCTGTAATCCTTAATATGTATCCCTGTAACTCTGTATTGCTAAATAGGTATCCCGGATTCAACTAGAGCCAACTCTTTGCTTATTTACACGAGAATTTATAGGCGTATAAACCTAATGAAGCAACAATTCATGGTGAACTGACTTACATTTTCTTGGTATTAAATTGATGAATGTGATTAAAGTAAATCGTAATACATGGTAACAATGTGGACCAATAGGTCTTCTCAGATATTAACAAACGTAATAGAATACAGATAATCTCAACACACAGTGTATATGTAGTAAATTTCCTACTCCAATAAATAGTTTTAGATCCGTCCCAATTCAGTTATAACCTTCCGTATTCTCAGGTATCTGTCTTACAAGATACAACTCAATCTCAAACTCAAGGTTCCTCAATAATACCTTTAAAGTTAATATCAATTCTGATACAACTCTATCTGTACTCTAAGGTATCTCTAACAAGATACAACTGAATCTAGAACTCAAGGTTCCTCAATGCTGTATCGTACACATACAACTTAATCTCAAACTGGAGATTCCTCAATACTAATCTCGAACTGGAGATTCCTCTATACTAATCTCGAACTGGAGATTCCTCTATACTGTATTGTACAGATACAACTAAATCTCGAACTGGAGATTCCTCAATACTAATCTCGAACTGGAGATTCCTCAATACTGTATTGTACAGATACAACTAAATCTCGAACTGGAGATTCCTCAATACTGTATTGTACAGATACAACTAAATCTCGAACTGGAGATTCCTCAATACTAATCTCGAACTGGACATTCCCCAATACTGTATTGTACAGATACAACTAAATCTCGAACTGGAGATTCCTCAATACTAATCTCGAACTGGAGATTCCTCAATACTGTATTGTACAGATACAACTAAATCTCGAACTGGAGATTCCTCAATACTAATCTCGAACTGGAGATTCCTCAATACTGTATTGTACAGATACAACTAAATCTCAAACTGGAGATTCCTCAATACTAATCTCGAACTGGACATTCCCCAATACTTTTCATCCTAGCCTAGATCTATCTTTCAAGATATGACCCAGGTCCCCTCTTGTTTCTGCCAAACAAGGAACAAATTACTCTCATACCGTAATCAAGCGGAGTATTATTCCAACTAACTATATTTTGAATTCTATGATACAGGTTTAAAAATGAACGTAATTACAAGTTTTACGTCGGTATTTACAAATGTAATTAAATTAATCATAATACAGATCTTACGCAGTTATTTATAAGCGTAGTTAGGTTAGTGTACAACGTAATAGATATGGGGTTTACTAAGATATTTATTACATATAGAGACAAAAATATGGTTTCCTACGACTTTTTATTACATAGGTAATCATTATCAATAACAATACTATAATATTTTTAAAATCGTTATTGCTATCAATATCATTATCGATCTCATTCTCATTAACGTTTTTTATCGATATATTTATTGCAGTTGTTATTGTTACAGTTAAAAATATAGTTTTATATACATTGGAAATAAGATAAATAATAATCAATAGATAAAAGCTGTATTAAAATTTAATTGAGGAATTGAGTTTTTGCCACATTCTCTGAATGTTGAATACCTTAGATATTTCAAAATTTAAATTCTGTTAAATCAATTAATCTAAGTTTGAAATATCACACCAGCAGGTTTCAAAGGGATGCAAAAATTTGAGTTTGTGGCAAAGACTCAATTCTTTCTCTAGCTGTGAAGTTTCAAAAAAAATATAGTCCGGGGGTGATTTTCCTAGTTTGCTTACAACTGCCGCTAAACCACATAACTGGAGTAATAATAATGCACAAAACCCAATAATTCCAGATTTTACTATGTTTGACCAGGACGGATCAAGTGTTCAAAAAATACATTTCTGTGTAAAATTCTGCTGTTTGTTTGAAGCAATTTTCCTTGCATCCCGCTAATCTAAAACTATTCCTGCTGCAGGTCTATGTTATTTATCACGTGGATTTAACTGTTCGGTCCTTTTCCCAGATAACTGATGCGACTTTAGATCAAAATTTGACCAATTAAACATATTTTGTTCTCCTTTTTTGTCTGCATTTGCGTTTTAAACTAAAAATTATAAATTATATTACGTTCATTAAGTTGACATAGACTGCATGCATCCTCCTTCTCCTCCTCCTTCGCCTCCTCCTCCTCCTCCTCCTCCTCCCCCCTCTAGTAAATGTAAAATACTCTAGACTGTAGAAAAACATTTTTTATTCTTTTCACAGTTTAATGTTTCCTTTTTCATTGCATAGAATAATATGCAGTCCTTTTTATGCTTTGTTTATAGCTCTGGAGTTATTCTTTAGGTTGAATACAGAGAGAAGATGTTGACACTAGAGTAGTTTACGTGTTCTTAACCCTAACATGCGAGATGGGGGGATTTCCACCCCCCTGTGGTTTTTTCTTTATGACTTTAAAATGGCTTACCCTAGAACCGCTCTGCAAACTTCTTCACTTTTTTAACTTCATAGTTGTAAACAAATGTTGCTAATTTTTTGTTTTGTTTGATGCATAAGGTAGAGTGGTGGGCGGTCAAACAGCTGGTCGGTGTTCTTAAATAATAAAAATAAATACTTATGTATTAATAAAGCTACAGATCTAAAATTTTGAACATTTTGAACTTGTTATAAACCCTTCTTAGATCACCAACCCATAAAGTTAGAAGTTAGATTTAGTTTTAATGAGCAGGCCTTGAAAAGTAGGACTAAGGACATATAAATCATATATTAGACAAAAAAAGCCTAATCGGGAAATTTTTGTTGGCAACATTCAACATTCTCAGTTGAAAACAATGACGCATTTATGCGGATGCACTTTTTCGGAAGCATTATTACATTTATTCACAATAAGGACGTACATTGTGGACGCAAAGTTATGACGCAATGTACGGAGTACAGACGCAAAGTTATGACGCAATGTACGGAGCAAGGACGCAAAGTTATGACGCACTGTACAGAGTACGGACGCAAAGTTATGACGCACTGTACGGGGTACGGACGCACTTTTGAAAATTCCCACACCAGCAGGATTTTTACAAAGATTTTTAAGAACCTTTGATGTTTAGGAAACGAATTTGGACCTTTGCGCTATTTTGAGCGAAATGTTTACTCATTTAAATAATTGAAAGCAAAATTTCGCGACCCTATTTATTTGATCATTTAAATCGAAATATTTCAGCAATTTTGTTTGAATTGCAAACTCGATCTTTTTTCGGCCATTATTAAATTTTTTATGTTCTGTTTTCCCAGGAAAAGTTTTAAATCAAAAAACCCATTATATAACCGCTTTCTATAAATTAGTAATAAAGCAATTAATTATTCATAATTATTCCTTTTTCCATACACAGCTAAATAAATCTAATCCAAATAATGAGGAAATAATTTACGACGCCAATATATTACGTTTAATAAATCAGTGTTTATAATATTAACTTAGAAACTGAAAACATACTTAAACTCTACTTTTCTAATTATACTACTTAATGTCGTTTACCTTTTATTTTTAAAGCCATCAATTCTATTAGATCAAATAGTCAAAGTTTGAAATATTATAGGTTTACACCATCAGGTTGCAAAAATAAAGGAAATATTAAAGATTTTGAGTTTGAGGTCAGTGTTCTTCTTTGTGGTTTCATAATATTATCATTTCAAAATAAAAGTAAGACCAAAAACTTCATATTAATCCTGTACTCTATTTTTTAAGAAATCATAACAAATGCATGCATAATATTTAGCAAAAAATTTCTTTCTTTTCTAAAAATTTCAAAATTTCTGTTAGGTCAGAATTAATGTTTTTTGTTTTGTTTTGAGAAACTACATTTAGACACATACTTAACTATACTTTTTATTTAAAAACCTCTTTTTGGAAATGTAAAAATTTAAAATTTCAGAAAAAATGCTGAAAATCGAATTCATCCTTTTCATAATTTGCGGACATTTCACAGGTAAGAAAACTTTGAAAATGTTAAACCGAAAACGAAAAATTGAAAATATAGTAAAGAAAACGAACGTTAGTGGAGGAGTAGGACTTTAGCTAAGTTATAGTTTACAACCTACAGATGCTGTCTGAATTCATTAAATCAGGGAACTTAATTTCACAGAATGAAAACAAAATGGTGAAAATATTTTGTTATTTAAAAAAAAGGTTTCACACGTCTCGCTTTGTTTCAAAATGAAGAAAAAAACGAGGCAAAAGGTAAATTTGAAACACAAAATTACAATAAAAGCAACATTTACTTAAATGTTTTTTTTGTGTGGTGTTGTTCAACGATGCCTAATGTTTATTCATGCAAAACTATTGCAAAACTTTACGAGATTGGAAATAGTAAAATAATACAAATGACTTTACACTCTTATTTTAGAATTGTACACAGTACAAATTTCTCATTGGTATCAAATGTATCCTGGAGTTTTTTTCTCTACAATACTGCACTTTCAGCTCAGCTGCCACGTCTAGCCAGTCTCTCCCTTTAAAAATCTAATATTTAAAGTCTAGTAACAATAATAAAAAATATAGAAATCCTACAGTAGTTGCCAATAAAGTTTGGAACGGTAGCGGAGAGTATGTCTTCTTCTATGTCTACTTATCCCGGAAATGGATTCTTTGACCCCAAAAACATTTATTTTCACATGTACTTGTAAATAAACCATGCATCCGGCATACTTAAGAGTATGTATTTATCCCATTTCTCACTTTTCATTATTTTATTTATTTATTTATGTTTCAAAAACAACTAATCCATTTCGTTAATGATTTAAAAATTAACAGTTTTTGCCGTTCTTTAAATGACTCTTCCGTTTATTTTCGGAAACCTTCGCTTCGTTAACGGAACTTTACCCAGCCCTAACTCATGCATCCCATTTTGCAAACTGGAAATATTTTGATCTAGAACATATCAATGCCGATAGTTAGGTAAATACTAACCCTGTCGAGAGTAAATACTTTCACAGAAAAGAGTAAATATTTTCCCAGAAAAGAGTAAATACTTACCCATAAAAGAGTAAATATCTACCCATAAAAGAGTCAATACTTACCCATAAAAAAGTAAATACTTACCCATAAAAGAGTAAATATCTACCCATAAAAGAGTAAATACTTACCCATAAAAGAGTAAATACTTATCCATAAAAGAGTAAATACTTACCCATAAAAGAGTAAATACTTACCCAGAAAAGAGTAAATACTTATCCATAAAAGAGTCAATACTTTCCCATAAAAGAGTAAATACTTACCCATAAAAGAGTAATACTTACCCATAAAAGAGTAAATACTTTCCCAGAAAAGAGTAAATACTTATCCATAAAAGAGTCAATACTGTCCCATAAAAGAGTAAATACTTACCCATAAAAGAGTCAATACACAGAAAAGAGTAAATCGAGCAATGAAATAGAAAAACTTACTGTGAAAGAGCAAAACTTACAGTGAAAGAGAAAACTTACCATGCTATAGCAAAGAGCTTGAAAGCTTACAATTAGAGTTAATGCACTGTTGATCTAGGATTTGTATCAAAGGGAAAATATATTTTCAATTATTTTCAATTATTACCTTGTATCCTGTATCTTTTATATCAGTATCATGTGTTCTGTGTCCTGTATCTTTTATATCAGTATCATGTGTTATGTATCCTGTATCTTTTTGTATCCTGTATCTTTTATATCAGTATCATGTGTTATGTATCCTGTATCTTTTATATCAGTATCATGTGTATCCTGTATCCTGAATCCTGTATCCTGTATCCTGTATCCTGTATCCTGTATCCTTTATCATGTATCATGTATCCTGTATCCTGTATTATGTATCCTGTATCCTGTATTCTGTATCATGTACCCTGTATCCTGTATCCTGTATCCTGTATCCTGTATCATGTATCCTGTATCCTGTATCCAGTATCATGTACCCTGTATCTAGGATTCTGTATCATGTAATCATTATCCTGCATTCCTGTTCTCTGTATCATGTATCCTGTATCCTGTATCATGTATCCTAAAGTTAAAGTTTCGAGCTTCATGCCTCAGGTTGAGTTGATAAATCCAACCTATAAAGAACTAGATTCAGACTCATCAATCATCAGATCCAGACTGCACCCAGAGCTAAATCACTCCAAGCTTTATTTTTCACCTGGAGAAACAGACAAGAACTATCCGGAGAAACAAGACAAGAATTACCTAGATAAACAAGACAAGAACTAACTCGGGAAATAAGACAAAAAAATACCTGGAAAAACAAAACCAGAACATAATTGAAGATACAAGACAAGAACTTTCTTGAGAAACAAGACAAAAAATACGTTGAGAAACAAGACAAGAACTACCTGGAGAAATAAGACAAGAACTGCCTTGAGAAACAAGACAACAACTACTTAGAGAAACAAGACAAGAACTACCTGGAGAAGAAGACAAGAAATACCTGGAGAAATAAGACAAGAACTGCCTAGAGAAACAAGACAAGAAATACCTAGAGAAACAAGACAAGAACTACCCGGAGAAACAAGACAAGAAATACCTGGAGAATAAGACAAGAAATACCTGGAGAAATAAGACAAGAAATACCTAGAGAAACAAGACAAGAACTTCGTGGAGAAACTAGACGAGAACTTCCTGTATAAGAAGACAAGAACTACCTTGAGAAACAAGACAATAACTACCTGGAGAAACTAGACGAGAACTACCTGAGAAGAAGACAAGAACTACCTGGAGAAATAAGACAAGAATTACCTGGAGAAGAAGACAAGAAATACCTGGAGAAATAAGACAAGAACTACCTGGAGAAATAAGACAAGAACTACCCGGAGAAACAAGACAAAAACTGCCCGGAGAAGCAAGACAAGAACTACCTGGAGAAACAAGACAAAAATACTTGGAGATACAAGACAAGAACTACATGAAGAAACAATCCAAGAACTACCTGGAGAGACAATGTAGTAAACACCTACATTTATCTATATGGACAATTTTCAACGTAATTTACTTTGGGCCTTAATGTTTGCTAATAAGAAGACAAGAACTACCTTGAGAAACAAGACAAGAACTACCTAGAGAAACTAGACGAGAACTACCTGGAGAAGAAGACAAGAACTACCTGGAGAAATAAGACAAGAATTACCTGGAGAAACAAGACAATAACTACCATTAGAAACAAGACAAGAACTACCTTGAGAAACTAGACGAGAACTACCTGGAGAAGAAGTCAAGAACTACCAGAAGAAATAAGACAAGAAATACCTGGAGAAACTAGACGAGAAATACCTGGAGAAGAAGTCAAGAATTACCTGGAAAAGAAGACAAGAACTACCTAGAGAAATAAGACAAGAAATACCTAGAAAAAAAATAATTTAAAAAACAAATAATAATTGTATAAAGCAAAGTTCTTACAAATTTAATCGAGTTGTTTCAAAATTCTGTATTTGGTTAGGAGAAGTAGTATAACAATTTCAGGGGGGGGGGAGGGGTTTCATCCTTAAGATTAATTTAAATCCACTTGAAATTGAATGTGAATATATATATATAGAAGATAATTACTTCTAGAAATAAGCATCTTTTAGTTTAAAGGTTTTGGCACGGTTCAATTCTTTAATAGATTTCCATCTACTGATTAACTTTTATCGACATAAACTTTTTTTGCAATTTTTAATTAAATTGTAGAGTTCAGCATTTTTTCAAAATATTAGATTTTTTAAAATATTAAATTTTTGTTATGATAAAATTTTTGGTGAAATATGATATTTTTGTTAAAATATTAGATTCTTTGTAAACTATTAGATGTTTCAGTAAAACATTAGATTTTTATTAAAATCTTAAATTTTTGGTGAAACTTTATTAGTAAAATATGCAATTTTTGGTGAAACTTTATTAGTAAAATATGCAATTTTTGGTGAAACTTTATTAGTAAAATATGCAATTTTTGGTGAAACTTTATTAGTAAAATATGCAATTTTTGGTGAAACTTTACTAGTAAAATATGCAATTTTTGGTGAAACTTCATTAGTAAAATATGCAATTTTTGGTGAAACTTTATTAGTAAAATATGCAATTTTTGGTGAAACTTTTATTAGTAAAATATGCAATTTTTGGTGAAACTTTATTAGTAAAATATGCAATTTTTGGTGAAACTTTATTAGTAAAATATGCAATTTTTGGTGAAACTTTATTGGTAAAATATGAAATTTTTGGCAAAATTGAAAAATGTAGAAGTTTATTCATTAATGTGCCACTGAATGTAATTAAATGTAGATGCGGGAAGCCTATTTAACTTTACACAGATATAGAACATGATATTCATAATACATAATGTGTAACAGAAGCAAGTTTAAAATAAAATAAATGAAAATTTACAAAATAGCAGAATTTAATAAATATTACAAATTTTAGGAAAAAAAAAACATTATTTTTTTGCATAACTTGCAAAAGTTATACATTTCAAAAAGAGAAATAAATAAGAACAATAGGAGGAATAAATAAGAACAATTGGAGGAATAAAAAGGAACAATAGGAGGAATGAATAAGAACAATAGGAGGAATAAATAAGAACAATAGGAGGAATAAATTAGAACAATAGGAGGAATAAATAAGAAAAATTGGAGGAAGAAATAAGAACAATAGGAGGAATAAATAAGAACAATAGGAGGAATAAATAAGAACAATAGGAGGAATAAATTAGAACAATAGGAGGAATAAATAAGAACAATAGGAGGAATAAATAAGAACAATTGGAGGAATAAATAAGAACAATAGGAGGAATAAATAAGAACAATAGGAGAAATAAATAAGGAGGATTAAATAAGAACAATAAGAGGAATAAATAAGAACAATGGGAGGAAAGAATATGAACAATAGGAGGAATAAATAAGAACAATAAGAGAATAAATTAGAACAATAGCAGGAATAATAAGAACACTAGGGAAAATAAATAAGAACAATAAGAGGAATAAATAAGAACAATAGGGAAAATAAATAAGAACAATAGGAGAAATAGATAAGAACAATAGGTGAAATAAATAAGGAGAAATAAATAAGAACAATAAGAGTAATAAATAAGAACAATGAGAGGAATGAATAAGAACAATAGGAGGAATAAATAAGAACAATAGGAGAAATAAATAAGAACAATAGCAGGAATAAATAAGATCAATAAGAGGAATAAATAAGAACAATAGGGGAAATAAATAAGAACAATAGGAGAAATAAATAAGAACAATATGAGAACAATAAGAACAATAAGAGGAATAAATAAGAACAATGAGAGGAATGAATAAGAACAATAGGAGGATAAATAAGAACAATAGCAGGAATAAATAAGAACAATAAGAGGAATAAATAAGAACAATAGGGGGAATAAATAAGAACAATTGGAGGAATAAAAAGGAACAATAGGAGGAATGAATAAGAACAATAGGAGGAATAAATAAGAACAAGGATTAAATAAGAACAATAAGAGGAATAAATAAGAACAATGGGAGGAAAGAATAAGAACAATAGGAGGAATAAATAAGAACAATAGGAGGAATAAATTAGAACAATAGGAGGAATAAATAAGAACAATAGTAGGAATAAATAAGAACAATTGGAGGAATAAATAAGAACAATAGGAGGAATAAATAAGAGCAATAGGAGAAATAAAAAAGGAGGATTAAATAAGAACAATAAGAGGAATAAATAAGAACAATGGGAGGAAAGAATATGAACAATAGGAGGCATAAATAAGAACGATAAGAGAATAAATTAGAACAATAGCAGGAATAATAAGAACACTAGGGAAAATGAATAAGAACAATAAGAGGAATAAATAAGAACAATGGGAGGAAAGAATAAGAACAATAGGAGGAATAAATAAGAACGATAAGAGAATAATTAGAACAATAGCAGGAATAATAAGAACACTAGGGAAAATAAATAAGAACAATAGGAGAAATAGATAAGAACAATAGTTGAAATAAATAAGGAGAAATAATTAAGAACAATAAGAGGAATAAATAAGAACAATGAGACGAATGAATAAGAACAATAGGAGGAATAAATAAGAACAATAGGAGAAATAAATAAGAACAATAGCAGGAATAAATAAGAACAATAGGGGAAATAAATAAGAACAATAGGAGAACAATAAGAACAATAAGAGGAATAAATAAGAACAATGAGAGGAATGAATAAGAACAATAGGAGGAATGAATAAGAACAATAAGAGGAATAGATAAGAAAAATAGGGGGAATAAATAAGAACAATAGGAGGAATAAATAAGAACAATATGAGGAATAAATGAGAACAATAGAAGGAATAGATAAAAACAATAGGAGGATAGCTAAAAACAATAGGAGGAATAAATAAGAACAATAAGAAGAATAAATAAGAACAATAGCAGGAATAATAAGAATAATAGGAGAAATAAATAAGAACAAAAGGGAAAATAAATAAGAACAATAGGAGGAATTGATAAAAACAATAGGAGGAATAAATAAGAACAATCAGAGGAATAAATAAGAATAATAGCAGGAATGATAAGAATAATAGGAGAAATAAATAAGAACAATAGGGAAAATAAATAAGGAGGAATAAATAAGAAAAATAGGAGAATTATAGGAACAATAGTAGGAATAAATAAGAAAAATAGGAGAATAATAAGAAAAAGAGGAGAATTATAAGAAAAATAGGAGGAATAAATAAGAACAATAGGAGGAATAAATAAGTAAAATAAGAACAATAGGAGGAATAGATAAGAACAATAGGAGGAATAAATAAGAAAAATAGGAGGAATAAATAAGAACAATAAGAGGAATAAATAAGAACAAAAGGAGGAATAATAAGAAAAATAGGAGGAATAAGTAAGAACAATTGGAGGAATAAGTAAGAAAAAATAAGAGATAAAGATTCACAAATACAATAAAGGAATTAAAAAAAATCATTTTTATTCTCTTTTAATGCAAAACTAGCTGAATTATTTTTAGCAAAACTTTTCTATTTCCATTATCAACAAATCAGAAATTTCTTAATGTTTTTATAATTGTGTAATTTCTTCTATTATTCTTATTTCTGTGTGCAGGTTTTCTGTTTTAAATCTGCCTGAAACTAGATCCATTTATCAACTGTATAGTTCTACTGATAAGGATTTAAACCTCTTCAACCACCAACTCTTCTAATCTTGTAATCCCTTACATTCATCAAAGAATCCACTTTTAAAATATTTAATCCACTTATTTAAATATTTATTCCACTTATTCCAGAATCAAATTCACTTATTCAAATTCTCAATCCACTTATTCCAGAATCAAATTCACTTATTCAAATTCTCAATCCACTCATTTCATTATTCAATCCACTTATTCAAATACTCAATCAACTTATTTAGATATTAATCCACTTATTCAAATGATCAATCCACTTATTTAAATGATCAATCCACTTATTTAAATATTAATCCACTTATTCAAATGATCAATCCACTTATTCAAATGATCAATCCACTTATTTAAATATTAATCCACTTATTCAAATATTTAATCCACTTTTTTAAATATTCAATCCACTTATTCAAATACTCAATCCACTTATTCAAATATTTAATCCACTTATTCAAACATTTAATCCACTCATTCAAATAATTAATTCACTTATTCAAATATTAATCCACTTATTCAAATATTGATCCACTTATTCAAATACTCAATCCACTTATTTAAATATTCAACACACTTATTCAAATGCTCAATCCACTTATTTAAATATTAATCCACTTATTCAAATATTCAATCCACTTATTCAAATACTCAATCCACTTATTTAAATATTAATCCACTTATTCAAACTAGTCTCTTTTAGTCTAAATTCAGTTCTCATGAGATTTCTGTAAAAATATTAAAAAAGACCAGGGTTTAATTTGGAAATTTTAACATGGTTCTTATACTTTTCAAATAGTTTCAAACATGATGATTATGTTCTTTGTTTACAGAGTAAATACTGCGTACGGACTAAAGAGTAGAATAACATTGTTCAAGTTTACAAGACTATAGTTGGACCACCAAACCTTATATAAAGAGTAGAATAACATTGTTCAAGTTTACAAGACTATAGTTGGACCACCAAACCTTATATAAAGAGTAGAATAACATTGTTCAATTTTACAAGATTATAGTTGGACCACCAAACCTTATATAAAGAGTAGAATAACATTGTTCAATTTTACAAGACTATAGTTGGACCACCAAACCTTATATAAAGAGTAGAATAACATTGTTCAATTTTACAAGACTATAGTTGGACCACCAAACCTTATATAAAGAGTAGAATAACATTGTTCAAGTTTACAAGACTATAGGTGGACAACCAAACCTTATATAAAGGTGAAATTAAGGAATGAAGTTCATACGCAACTTTAATACTAGGTCAAGGAAAAGTTAAGTAAGCAAATACTGGTATTTTCTTGAGTTATTAAGCTTCTCTTTTAACACACGGTGTCTCATGTAACATAACAGTTTAAATATAGCCTGAGATGATGAGAATCAACTTTGAGCTTTGAAATAATTAGCGGCATTAATTGATAAGAATAATTCTTGATAAAATAATCCTAAATATTCCTTTACTATGAAGCTATGAATAAACGTTTAACCTCAAGGCACTCCAGCTAGTTTATATTATTACTAGCTGAAGGGCCCGGCATTGCCCGTGAAAAAAAATTAGAACAAATATTTAAAAAAAAAAATATTTTGATTTTTTTTTAGCCTATAACACCTCCTAACAACCCATGAGTGTCCACAACAAATTTCAGCCCAATCGGTCCAGCCGTTTGGCCGGCTATACGCAACGTATATATGCATTTACGAATGTCTTGTTTTATTGTATAGAATTAGCTTTCTTTTTGTATTTTAGTTGTGAGGTTGAGCGTTGAGAAGAGAGGATCTCATGTACGATCTTCAAACTATTCTCCAGGTTCAGATACCTTGCTCCAGGTCCCCCCTGAGCCCTGGTTCAATGATAGTGTTCAAACTGAAGTATTTGCTCCGGTAGGAGGAAGAGCTAGTATTGAGTGCAGAGTAACAAACCTAGGAGATACTGCGGTAAATAATTAAAATAATAATAAAGATTTAACAAAGCTTGTTACAATAACTTAAACAAAGAAGAAGTACAGTAATATAATAAATAAATAATGCAATAAGTTGACGTTAACAATCTGTGAAGAAAACAGAGAAGAAAGATACTATGAGAGTAAGAAGAAGGAAAGCAAGGAAGAATGATGAATAAAATAAAAGGAGAGGGAAGAAAGAGAAGGATTAGGAGAAATATTAGATCATGAAGATCTAGAAATGAAAAGATTTTTAAAAAGAACAAAAATGAAAAAGAAAGAACTGTTAGAGAAAGAACTAAAAATAAAAGATGAAGGATGGGATTCAATAAGAAACGCTAGATGAAAAATAACGGACTTAACAAGGAAAACTAGATGAGAAATAAGGGACTTAACAAGGAACGCTAGATGAGAAATAAGGGACTTAATAAGGAACGCTAGATGAGAAATAAAGGACTTAACAAGGAACGCTAGATGAAATATAAGGGACTTAGCAAGGAACGCTACATGAGAAATAATGGACTTAACAAGGAACGCTAGATGAGATATAAGGGACTTAATAAGGATCGCTAGATGGGAAATAACGGACTTAACGAGGAACGCTAGATGAGAAATAACGGACTTAACAAGGAACGCTAGATGAGATATAAGGGACTTGATAAGGAACGCTAGATGAGAAATAAGGGACTTAATAAGGAACGCTAGATGAGAAATAAGGGACTTAACAAGGAACCCTAGATGGGAAATAAGTGACTTAACAAAGTAATATGACAAGGACAGCTGAGAAGGAAGTGACATGACAAGGACAGTTGAGAAGGAAGTAACATGAAATGGACAGCTGAGAAGGAAGTAAGCTGATGGGGACAGCTCAGATGGAAGTTAGATGACAAAAACAGTTGAGGAGGAAGTAATATGATGGGAACAGCTGAGATGGAAGTAATATGACAAGGATAGCTAAAAAGGAAGTAATATTACAAGAAGAGCTGAGCATGATGAAAGAGACGAGGACAGCTGAGAAAAGAAGGAACGTGACAAGGACAGCTGTAAAGAACTGGACGTGACAAGGACTAATAAGAAAGGAAAGAACGTTAGAAGGAAAGCTGATAAGGAAGGAACTTGACAAAGACATGTAGGAAGGAAGGAACGTGACATGTAAGGAACACGACAAGGAAGGAACGTGACATGTAAGGAACAAGACAAGGAAGGACGTGACAAGTAACACGACAAGGAAGGACGTGACATGTAAGGAACACGACAAGGAAGGACGTGACAAGGATGGCGGATAAGAAAAAGTTTTCCAATGATAAATATTTGTGACTCGTTTCTTTTTATTTTCCTTGAAATCCTATAGAGTGTTCAGTTAAGTATATATCTGAAGAACGAGGCCTGCATTTTTATATTTTTATCTGAAAACTTTTTATAAGTTTCAGTCTTTTAAAATCAACAACTTGAACTTTATATTTGGAATATATGCATTCTTCCAAACCTTAGTTTTGAAATTCTAGAAAAATAAAATACAATTTTAATTTTGGAGAATTATCTAAATTTAGTGATACCCATGTATCCTTGAACGTGATTACGTGAATAATTCTAAGATCCTCTTTTTCTGCGCGGTATTAAAGAGTTTTTTTTTCACAAACGCTGATTTTCTATTCCCTACAGGGTGTCCCACATCATATTAGACCGAGAACGGGTCTAAATTACGATTTTCGGGGCGAATTAGAAAATTTCATTAAAATGAATCATTTTGAAAAATAACATAAGGCTTATATAAGAATTTTCTTGCGGAAAATGATAAGTTTTTCGAGTATTATTTTGGTGTTAAAGATTGGAGATAATCTAATATGATATGGGACGCTCTGTATATCTGTGTAAACCTTTTATATTTTAAACATTTTGATCTCACAGAATTCATAGTTTAAAATATTTAAGATCTATGACAATGGGTTGAAAAGGAGACTTTGACACAAATTCAAACTTTTTAATCCCTATATCTTTCAAAAAGGTGAAATTCTTGTATTGTCCTACTATCTAGGTATCCTGGATACGAGGACGGGATCTGCATATTCTTGTATTTTCCTACTATCTAGGTATCCTGGATACGAGGACGGGATCTGCATATTCTAACGATTGGAAGTATCACTTATACACAGGATCCTAGGTTCATTTCTCATCATACAGAGGATTATAAAATGTAAGTAGCAAACCTAGAGTACCTTTGTACATCTGTCTGTATAGTTTACTAGCAAAGAGAATAGAATATATTTATTCTATTCTCTTTGTTTACTAGGCATTAACAAGCTTTGCTTTTATCTGTTCTTCTGAAAGTGGCCAGTTTGTTCGCGGATTTCTCCATTAAAATTGACTCATTTTTTTCTTGTTTGGCGGTCTAAAATCCTTCCCTGTGGTCATGTGAGTTGCCAGACAAAACTTGGATCATAGCTGGGAACTTTAGAGCGGATAACCTTTAATCCCAACTACTTAATCCGAATATCCACTGTGGAAACTTTTTAATTTTAGCCTTAATCCACTCTTTTTCTCTCTCTTAGGATATCCGTACATTATTTTCTCCAATGAGAGTGCAGTAATATAGTTCGTAAATTGTATTGACCAATGACAGCCTTGAAAATAATTTCTATCCCATTAGAGAAATACGCAATTTATGATAAATCAAGAATTTGTTGTCGGCCATTTTGTAAATTAATTGGCGAAGAAAAATATTTGATAATATGTTTGATATTCTTTTTTTATCCAATTTTAACTAATGTATTAATAAATAAATGGGTGAGAAATTAAGTGAAGGCCCTTCCAGTCAAGAAAACAAACAAATCTGGCGTTCTTAGAATCCAATTTGTTGATCTAAATATTTAATCTCAAGACTAGCATAATCTCGAGATTATGTCAGTCTTGAGATTAGCAAAAACGGAGGATTAAGCATTAATCCTGATATCCACCATTCTAAAGTTCCCAGCTCAGATCAGTTTAGCCGTGGTTATGGAAAGGGACTACCCATGTAATTCTATGTAACTCATTTTTCAAAGAGTTAAAATGTCGGATAGAGAGTTTGACGTTCAACACAATACTCATGCATATGTTCAAAAATGACTGAGATATACTCGTTTATTTGTCTCAAAATTAAAAAAACATTAAAATTTTTCTTTTTTCTTAAAGTAGACAATAGCTTTCTTATTGCTGTAGATAAGGTGTATAATCTGTTAATCGGACATGACACTTTTAATCAGTTGAAGTTATGTTGACATTCTCTCCTAAAGGGAACACCCCCCCCCCCTTCTCTCTTAAAGGGAACCCCCCCCCCTACCCCCTAACAACTCAGTAAACCTTCATTTTCCATTTCTCTAAAACTTTTAATTTCTTCCGTATGTTCTCAGTTAGTTGACAAACTATCTTTAATTAAATCACAAATGACTTGCAGGAAACATAGAAGTAAGATGTTTTTTTGAGACAATTTAGAATATTCATCAAACCATATAGTTTGTAAGGATACAAGTACTGGACTCTAACTCTTTCTGTATCATAAGTGGCATGTTTGATTCCCAATGGTAGAATTTGCAACTTTTTCTCAGCAAAAATTACAGTAATTATATCATAAAACTTTTTTTTATAGAAATCGAATTAAAAATAATCAAACAGAAAATTAAGGATATCTCATCATCACTTATCCGCCGACGGTTTAAAGGGTACCCGCCAAGGGTTTAAAGGGTATCCTCCAAGGGTTTAAAGGGTATCCGCCAAGGTTTTAAAGGGTATCCGCCAAGGGTTTAAAGGGTATCCTCCAAGGGTTTAAAGGGTATCCGCCAAGGGTTTAAAGGGTATGCTCCAAGGGTTTAAAGGGTATCCGCCAAGGGTTTTAAAGGGTATCCGCCAAGGGTGTAAAGGGTATCTGCCAAGGGTTTAAAGGGTATCCTCCAAGGGTTTAAAGGGAATCCGCCAAGGGTTTTAAAGGGTATCCTACAAGGGTTTAAAGGGTATCTGCCGAGGGTTTAGAGGGTACCCGCCAAGGGTTTAAAGGGTATCCGCCAAGGGTGTAAAGAGTATCCTCCAAGGGTTTAAAGGGTATCCTCCAAGGGTTTAAAGGGTATCTGCCGAGGGTTTAGAGGGTACCCGCCAAGGGTTTAAAGGGTATCCGCCAAGGGTGTAAAGGGTATCCTCCAAGGGTGTAAAGGGTATCCGCCAAGGGTTTAAAGGGTATCTGCCGAGGGTTTAAAGGGTATCCTCCAAGGGTGTAAAGGGTATCCGCCAAAGGTTTAAAGGGTATCCTTGAAGGGTTTAAAGAGTATCATTAAAGGGTTTAAAGGGTATCCTCCAAGGTTTTAAGTACCCCCAAGGGTTTAAATGGTATCCGCCAAGGGTTGAAAGGGTAACAATATGAATCGGACAATGCCGTGCCTTCTATATTTGTTGGGTCTCTTCATCTCTTTAAATTACGTCTCAAAAGAACCTGAATTTAAAATAAAGGAATGAATGCAGAAAAGATTAATTACTGAAGTTTTGTAAATCATTGCAAAAAATTTGCATTTTATTTGCATTTTGTTTGCAGTCTAGTGGGTACTGCAAGTAATTAGGGAAAGGATTGCAGTTGTTCAAGGATAGATAGATAAATAGATAGTTAGATAGATAGATAGATAGATAAATTGATAGTTAGATAGATAGATAGATAAATAGATAAATAGATAAATAGATAGTTAGTTAAACAGATAGATAGATAGACAGATAGATGGTTAGACAGATAAATAATACGAATTCTATTTGATCAAATAATAAACATTTGAAATATCAAAGGTTTACACACTCAGGTTGCAAAGATATAAGGATTATAAAATTTGAGTTCCTGACAAAGACTCAATTCCCTAAATATCTTTTGTTAAATTTAAAACAATTACTTTGGATATTTTCGAAAAAATTTCAGTGAAAAACTTTTTTTCAAATATATGTTAAGAAGTTTTCAAATTATTTCGAATAAAAGATTTTTTAAACTCCACAAACATACTTTTGAATGATTTTACATTTTCTCGATAAAAAGATTAGCTTTGCCTAGAAAAATGTTTCTCATGCATTTACTCCAATTGGTAATTCCTTAGAGAGGATTGTGATCATAACAACCAAATAATCTCCAAAAGAGCATTTAAGCAAAATATTTAAACCCCTACTAGGGAAACATTTACAGAACTGGGTTATATTGACAAAGTGGTTTAGGTAAAATTTAAAAATCAGAATTGAACTGATAGATCGCGATCACTCCGGTACAATTGTAGCATGATCCGAACCAAGACCAGGATTCTGGTCTAGTCTTTACTCGTATCAGCCCGTCTGATGTACCAAGTATGTAGTTGACCCGTTTTCTAAATAATACAAAGGCAGAACGATCCAGTGTGTGATCAGTAACTATTTTAGTGACTAAACTCTAAAGTCATCATGCTTGTAATTTACACATTTTTTAAACATTTCCTTGGTCTTAAAAACAGAAATAAATTTATGTTTTTTTTTTAAGATTATTTTTAACAGAATTTATAAATATTTTACTCTTTGAGAAAATTGGCAGAGTTGTTATAAGACTGCACCAAAGAGTACACTCTGCAGTAGAACCAAGTGCACTGATGATTAAATTGTGTAAACACTATCAGAAATGCACATCTATCATTTCAATTTATCTTTCATTAATGTTGGAAATTATGTTCCAATAAAAAAACATAATCCCAACATTTTTTATCATTTTGTTTTGAAGAACGTTGAGGGGGGAACTTCTGTATCGTTGATCCTTTCAGGAAGCACTAATCTGTATCTGTGGTGTTGAGGGGGGAACTTCTGTATCGTTGATCCCTTCAGGAAGCACTAATCTGTATCTGTGGTGTTGAGGGGGGAACTTCTGTATCGTTGATCCCTTCAGGAAGCACTAATCTGTATCTGTGGTGTTGAGGGGGGAACTTCTGTACCGTTAATCCCTTCAGGAAGCACTAATCTGTATTTGTGGTGTTGAGGGGGGAACTCCTGTATCGTTAATCCCTTCAGGAAGCACTAATCTGTATCTGTGGTGTTGAGGGGGGAACTCCTGTACCGTTAATCCCTTCAGGAAGCACTAATCTGTATCTGTGGTGTTGCTCCACGGAATAAGTCAGTTCCTCATTGTTTTTTTTAATATCCTATGTACTCATCTCTTCTCATCCAATAAGAGATCGCAAAATATGTACCAGCTGTATTTAGCGGATTGATCACTTACACTTTATTACATTTTCATAAGTTTTAAGGGACTATCGTCGTAATTTAAAGGGAGTGACCGGCAATGTACGTATTGTGGTTGAACTGAGTATGCAGTATTGTAGAAGATTTTTTTAGGATTCATTTCAGACATATAAAACGTTTCCACAATGTGTAATTGTAATAAATTCAGTTTGAACATGCCTATTTAAATTGCGTAGTACATTGTCTGTAGATCTAGATGCGCTAATCCTTAAATGAACACAACTTGTAATGCGACTAGACTAGCTACGTATTGTGATTAGCTTTAATACGATGATATATTTCTGCGAAATATTGTGAATAGTTCACTGGCTTGTAGCCCTGTGTATCGTGTCCTGTTTGACTTTTATAGCGGACAGGTTGTTCCCGGACTGATACAGTTCTGGACGAAGTTTTAAGAGTACGGCATTTACTACATAATTACTGAGTTTGAGTGCAAAGTTGAGGTTCAAAATCATGAATTTGGGTGCGTACGTTTTCAGAAAAGGTTTTTTTAAATCATCAAATAACAACGACAAAAAATATAGTAAAAATTCCATAGTAAACTAATTAGAGGTTTATCAATATTAGAATCAATAATTTCGTTTTCATTATATTTAATTTCTTATTTTCTATGAATTTGTCATGCAGATTTATAAAAAACTTTCAAATGTCGTCTTTTAAATATAAATTCCAGAAAATCTGCAGAAAATCTTTGTGAATAATAAGAGATTATAGAAACTAATAATTGAATAATATTACTTATTTTCGATGATAAGAGTTAATTTTTATTTTCTCAACCTGTTCCTAAGCAACGATTAATAGTTTACTGTAGAATTTTGTTTACATTTTTGTCGTCGTTATTTAAAAATTTAAATATAAACGATTCTGAAAACGTACCCACCCAAATTCATGATTTTGGACGTCGACTTTGCGTTCAAACTCAGTAATCATTAAAAC